GCGCTGGGTCTCGAACCCGTGGACAAGGGTAGGCTCACGCAGAAGGCGACGAAGTTACCACGGAGCCACAGAAGCTTCGTTGGTCAGTGGTGGATCAAATGGAAACTTTATACCTTGTCAGGGAGAGTGCCAGTTTGGATGCTATTTCAATCGATAATCCGGGTGCCCTATTTCAACCCGAGCAGCCCCAGTCCCATTCCAGAACGTTAACTCCGACGCTGTATGGTGTACGTTTATCTCCTTAACTATAAGATCCGGATGTTAGAAAGTCAAACACATCTTTCGACGTTAGATTGAATGAAAGACAATCATTGTTTCGGTCAGTTGCCAGCACGGTTCCGTCCGATTTGTCATAAGTCAAAGATCCCGTTTTCATCATGAAGTTACCATTAGGGTTGCGTATTCCCATACCCGTGATTGACAATGTCGTGCACTTCAACAAAGACGATACCAAGCGTGAAGATGACGTTGGGGTCAGAGTTCAACTTGTACCATTCATCTGTGGATGAAATACGGACTTCTACATCAGCGCTCTCTGTACAACGAGTCAGTGTGACGACAGCGCACCTTTGTGGCAGAAGTTCTCGCGCTATGCTGTTCAGTTGGAACACGCTTGGTTCCGCGATTGGTGAGGTTGAGTATGCTGTGGCAGAAAAATTACAGGAATCATGCAAGTTTGAATTGAATAAATATCATATTGTATGAGCACCTAATTACCGCGGCATCCAATTACAATAAAACTATCTGTAAAGTCATCAACCCCTAACAATGATGGATATACGCTGTATTCGTATAAAGCGAAAACCCATGTATCTATCGAAATAGACAATTATTCAAAAATATGAACTTGAAAAACTTGCACCTCAATATTGAAACATTCAGTTTTAGTAAAGCCAAAGTTACTAAAAACCCAAAAGAAACTGGAAGCCACTGATCTGATAGAGTAGAGTGGTTTAATGAAAATATGACCAAGAATTGTGAAATATTCTTACGGTCACAGCTCAAACCGTCGCTGTCGAGTACCCCACTGCTACAATTGCACACAAAGGATCCAATGGTGTTTTCGCAAATGTCTTGGCACCCTCCATTGAACGAGTTGCATTCATTTATATCTGAAATAATGAACAAGTAGAGATGGGTGTTATTAAACAAAGAGGACAACAAATGCATGCAATTATCCGAAACATTCAGGATGGATACATCCTTTTCTTCAAGACAATATATATATTTATAACAACTATAGGATGGAATCACATGGGTTGGAGAAAGGGGCAGAATAAACTGTTTTATCATTAGATCGTAAGGAAGGTAACAGAATAAAGGTGACAAAAGCGTGTTTAACGTAATCTTGGCGCTGTTTACGTTAAGCACGCTTTCGTGACATCGCGTGTCTTTAACACATCACCGCCGTCTCGTATCGTAGGAGTTTGTTTTTTCACTATTTTTTCATAAACCCCGAAGAAGGCCTAGAGGCCGAAAGTTTGGATTATATATGACATCTGTAAAGTAGATCTTCAGAGATGCATCAGTAATAATACTTAATTTTTAAAAATCAAAAGTGCAGGCATCAATATATTATTGTGACGTCAGCATGACGTCGAAATTGCGTCACGAGGTAGCAGCGTCACTTAGTGTTTTATGGAAGTGCACTTACCTTCACACGTAATACCGTCTTGTCCAAACTGGTATCCCGAGCTACATTCACACTGGAAGGAACCAGGTAGGTTGTTACACACCTGTGCACAGCCTCCGTTATTGGTGCTACATTCATCTACATCTGTAATGCATAAAAGCAAGATATGTAGGCCTACATGTACATTGTAGTACATGAAGGTCTACATATCCTACGCCATTTAATTGCCTCTGTCCAACACATACCCAACTGAAGTAATATTGAAACCAAATATGTTTTGTTTGCATATACAGACTTGACATTTAATACGGAATATCTCAGTTTCAAAAGTATACCTTTGTAAAATGCGTTCTTTTTTCAAAAAAAAAAAACCTCAGATCTCATATAAGCTATCTGACTGAAGAAGTGTGTAGTTAGGTGTGTCGCTACCAATTTACTGACTGTTGCACTGCTGCATTGCGTCATATGCAGTGATTTAATTGGGTAGTGCTCCTTTGGGCTGGTCAAAGCTTGGCTTTGGCGAAGCATGGTTCTGTAAAAAAAGGATCCATATGTCGGCGACGACTGCATCGAAAAATTTTAAACTTCGCATGCAATATCCAAATCTTACCACCAGGGCACAAGACTCACTGTCCTTCTGGATATTTTGCAATAACTAAACAAAAACCAACCAGTCAAAAAACGCGTTTTTCAAGGCCCTTAGCGAACACTAAACTAGTTTCAGCAGGTCAGGATACCAAACGACCTCTTAGGACGCCACAGTAAACAGTAAAACAGCGTCGTCCGTTTCCCTAACGAATTGGGGACCATGACCGTTTCTGGGTAAAACATTGAAACCGCATGGCTTTCTTTATTGTCATATTGAGGTCAGATTTCACCTGTACCGCTCAACTGGTCAAAACAGAGTTTACAAACATCCTAAAGAGGCCTTGCCGTTTCTACAGTGACTAGGGTCATTGACAGCGTCAGTATTTGGAGTGGATGCCACATTGGTGCACCGATAGAGGTCACCGATGAAAACCCGAACCAGATTGAAAAAAAAGATAATCTGGGAACCACTTGACTATCATTTGATACCGGGGGGGGGGGCACCTAAGGAACAATTTTAGGTTGCACATTGAGATTGTCGGTTAACACAGAGCACTTTTAATAGCAGATAACTTACAGAACCAAAGGAATGAGCAGCTACTTTGGTTATCAATATCGCCATTTTTGAACCATTAAACAATATGTGGGTAGGACATATCTCGCCGAATCAATGGCCTACAACAAACTGAACCAAATTGGACAAGTTTTGACCATTGCCTGTAATTTTATTTCAGATTAAACTCTAAAAACCTATCCCAGGGAATGCCTTGCCGCTTGAAATCTCTGGTAGCAGCAAGATGAGGTCCGGCGTAACAGCGACCATTGCTGTGACTAGACACTGACATGCGAGGCCCTTGTGGGGAGTGTAACTCTTTTAAAGGCGACAAAAAGGCGAAAAAATATGGAGATCCAAACTTTCGCTGTCAATGGTTGTCGTATGACTTAGAATAGGCAATGTATTTTTGTTTGCTTCACTGGCGACTTCAATTAATGAACTTATGTCACAAGGACAACAAAGATATAATTAAAAGTTATTAAAACACATTAAAACACGATTTTAATTTTCATTTTCATTTATCAGTCAGCAAAACAGGAAAAAACTGATTAATTACGATTTGGAAAAATATCCATCTTAAATGTCAATTCTGTAAATATTTCAGAATTCTGCATTCATAACCTTTGGAACTGCAGGTGTGAAGAAGCTAAATAAATTGTGGTGTCATACAGTCAAGTGTCCACATACCACTTAGCTTGTTATCTAAATAAATTGTGACGTCATACCGTCAAGTATCCATATACCACTCAGTGTGCCTCAGTGTGTCATCTCCCCCCCCCCCCCCACCACCACCACCATAACACTATGTAACGCCATTTATCAATCACATACAATTATGCGTAACGCCATCTATCGTTCTCTTACCATCACATGTGACCCCATCTGCATTCAGCAAATAGCCGGCCTGACAAGTGCAGGTGAAAGATCCGTTTGTGTTTGTGCAAAAATGAGAACACATGCTCTGCTGGCATTCACCAATTTCTGTTTAGCAAAAAAATAATTTGAAATGAAAAATGTAAAAAATGACCATTCAAATAGGCTGTTTTGTACCTTAAATACTTTTATTTACAAATCGAAATTTAAATTTGATGAAACAGAAAAAGTTTTGAATAAAATTTTACAAATATTAAAATTTATAAAAATTAAATAAATAACACATTAAAGGAAAAGGTTCTACAGCATACGCCGTGTTTCCCTGCACACAATGCAGTAATAAGTGTCTGCAAAGTATAGATTGTTCAGGTCTGTCGCCAGCAAGGTAAAAAGGTGGTCTTTTCAGAAAACGTGGACCTTTTATGACATTATTGACTCAACTTGATCAAATTTTGGTACGGACACTTTCTAGTCAAAAAGACGCGGTTTTCTTTCGGAACCCCCGATCCCCATTCCCCCGACCTGAAAACCTTCCGCACACTACCTTTACATACAGCTTTCACAGCATGTTCTTTGAGAAGTCTATGTAACACAATGTTTGCACAGTTACCATTGCAAGTCTTGCCGTTGTCGTCCAAGGTGTACCCAGCGTTGCAGCTACACTGAAAGCCACCGAAGGTGTTTGAACAACGGTGAGCGCAACCAGAACTGACGGCAGCGCATTCGTCTATTTCTGCAGAGTTTGGTAAAACATGGCAGCGAAGTGGATAAAAGTACAATGTACTGTAGCTAGGAGGCATTAAGTCATTTCTGTAACAGCAATATAAATCCTAAACCAGAAAAGTAATTATTACAGCGTAACTGGCAGGAGTACTTCAGTGAGTAATCACCTCAATTTCTCGCTTCACGTCTCTTAATTCTGCTCATTTTCATTGCTAAATTTACATCCACCGCTCACGTTATTCACATTTACAACATTCGCAGGCAATCAGTTCAGTAGCAGCTAGCTCTGTTCTTTTTTTTTTTTTTTTTCGTATGTTTAAATTTGCTCTCTTGGTTTCTGTAGGATTTCGCTTCCTATCTCATCTTCTCATCGTAGCTTACAGCTCTTTACACTAGTGGTGATTGCATGCCAATTCTTCATGAATTCTTAAACTTAAAAAGTAAGGGGTTCACCACAACCCTTTTTTCCCTGTGTGTGTGCATGTGTGCGTGCACATGTGTGCGTGTACAACGATTTTATTTATATTATCCATTAATAGTTGCCTTATGGTAGCATGTAAGGCGCTATATAAGAAGCTTATTATTATTATTATTATTATTATTATTATTATTATTACAAGTGTGTGTGTGTGAGTGTGCACGCGTGTGTACGTGCGTGTGTGTGTGTGTTTGTGTGTGTATGGGGTCTTAATCTGTTGGTCAAAATTTAAAATAACATGGAATGATGCCTAGCCGTCTCATGTATTAATGCATGTACAACTAACCGTATAGTCTTTACGCCATTATTCATTAGTGCCCAGTATCAGTATATGCAAACTTTAAAACAGACAGATTTTGTCTCACCGCCTGTAGGGCGCCACAATTTCATTCTACAGATATTCGAAGTTTCTTGCATGACGGCATTTGACATTAATGATGCAATGGAAATCACAAACAATGAACAACTACAATACCTGCAGATACATACTGGTATTTTAAGTAGTCCAGGGTAGACAGACAACAAAGAACATAATGACAGGAAGCCGGGGGGATGAAATAGTCTGTCACTTTCTTCTTTTTTCATTTTCTTTCGAGCAACTGAGGTCAGTTTTCAGAATCCTGCTTCTGCCCTTGAAACCTGTTCTATACAAAACAGGATACCAGAGTATTGACGGTTACCGAGCATGGGACATAAATTACGACATTCGTCGCCAGAGGACCAGACAAAGATGCAAATTTTAAGTACTCCGTATATCATTTCAGTGATACAGGTCTGTCTAAATGTGCAATCAGTATTCATTGGACGTAATCCTAGGCGCCTGGATTAAAGTTATATATAAAGCGAGCGTGGATTTCCAGTTACTTCTAGGCCCCTACTAGTTTCTTATACACCTAAAACAAAGTCGACAGGCCAAGTTATAGACCAAATTAATCTCTCGTTCAGCCAAAAAAGTTTTAAAACTGCATTTTCTTCAAAAATTTGATCGTAAATTGATCTCCATGTATTTATCTGTCCCTCCAGTTCAAAGGTCCGCTAATTGACTTTGTACTGCACGCGCATTGCATAATCACTACTCTCATTCCGATCCCATTTAAGGATGTATATAGCTGCGTGCGCAGCTGCATACTTCGTGCAATGGATGTGATCTCAACTACCACAATTCAGCAATGCAGGGTTCTTGGCGGAGGTGTGCGCTCATTAAGTGCTTTTCTAGTTATGATTATTTCATTTTTTTTAAATAAATAGTACATAAATTATATAAACTTCCTCAAGGAAGTCTTTATTAGCGGTTTTAGTAATTTGTAAAAATTCGCCCATATTAAAATACTGTTCAACTATTATGACATAATATTAGTATATTTTTTTAAAAAATGTAGAACAAGGCATGAAAACTTGCTAAGCTGTGTATGTGTTTGCGTTCTGGGACACGGGAAAATACAGTCTAATTCTATTGAAGGGTTTGCCCAAGGTTGAGCGCCTCTCTCTAAGCAAGTGTACCGAAGAAACACCATACATGTTTATACGATGTTGAAAGAGGCTACGCTTGCCACGCACTGACTGAAAAAACAGTCTGATGGCTGTCCGGTGTTTATTTCTAAATGAGATTATCTTGTTTAAGTAGAAACACTCCAAGAACAGCAAAAGTGAGCAATATGCCGCCACCCACACCAGGGCTTGTCTTGGCCGCGCTGCTGACCGTAGCAGATATCCAGTCATCAATTTGCTGTTCTAGCAAATGGAGTGGCACCGCTCCGATTGAGAGGACCTGGTGATGGTACTCTTTGATGTCAAATTTAGACCCTTCAAGGAAAGAATGGCGTCATAAGAGTTTTGCAGAAACTACAAACAGTAAGTCATGCATATGTATATGTAAACGATTGAGCCTACAAAAGACACAAACTGGCAATTTTTCAACTATAGGCCCTTTGAGCGGTATCCCTGAAAATGCATGCAGACATCTTATTAAGACTAAGACAATTAAAGTTAAATATTATTTATTCCCAAGAGCTTAACACTACCACTGTATCTGAATTAATAATAAACTGTACCGGTACCTAGTGCTTTTTCAGCACGGCGCCGCAGCTCTTTCAGTTTCATTTCGCCGATCTTGTACGCGCATGCCTGGCCGGGCCACGTGATGTAGCGATCGATCTCTATGGCGGCCGATTCTAAGGACATCTCGGTGTAGTTGGCCAAATACTGGATGGCCCGGTCGCGACTCCAACTAGAAGGTAAAATAAATGACAGTACCAATTATGTAAATTGCCTGATGAACTTGTTACCTGACATATTCTTTTCACTATAAACCTAATAAATTATTAAATTTTTACATAACATATTCTCTTCACTCTAAACCTAATTCTGTGTAAAATTTATTTTATCTATGCCGCAAATGGTCTGAGGTTGGTTACTTTACATCTAGTAGAGAACACTAGGTTTGCCGTTACATTTTACACAATTAAGGGAGTTGTGCACTTTGGCGTCAGCATATTGATCATTTTACACGAGGTCGACGTTTGTACTGGTAGTTTGTGTGTGTGTGTGTGTGTGAGAGAGAGAGAGAGAGAGAGGCCGATACCCCATGACATGGAGACCAGTATCCACCACAAGACGCACCGCTCTGAAGATTTCATAGGAGTAGCGACCAATCCTGTTTAACGAAATGATATGTTATAAATTGTGATAAAAGCATAGAATGTAATAAAAAGTGTAATATATCATAAATTCAATAGCTGTTCTATTATTCCTATTATCAACGTATTCATTTGTCTTAAACTGAAAAAAAACAGAGAGGATAATGTTCCAATGCCTGTGTCATTTTTTCTGATTCATACAAAGACTGGTACTTAAAACTGATCTAGAGATTGGCTTACATTTCGTTGTTATCCTTATATGCCGCCATCTCCTCTCCCAGGTACTCCGCATAGAGACCCCAGCCCTGTAAGAGAATATACAATCATCAACGTACTTTGCGTTGCCTTGTTTAGATTTAACAAAAACAGGGGCGCCCTTGGAATGACATTGGTGCCCCATACAACTAATCTGTCGCACAGGGGATTTTTACTGAGGCGCCAATATATCGTTCTAAGGGTGTTATACATGTAGTTTCTTTATCAAACGCCTGAATGCAAATGCGTGAATTTTTTTTGTTTTTCATCGATGTGTGTGTGTGTGTGTGTGTGTGTGTGTGTGTGAGTGTTTCGGTATGCGCCTGACGTAACTGATATAGAGAGTAACTTGACTGACGCATGGGTTTGGCAAGTACCTGTATATTTACAAAACAACAAAAACCAAAAGCAAATAATCGGCATGGACAGAGAATACAATGTATATCCGTATCTTCGTGTATAATGTACAGTGTTATAAAAAAACTACTTACCTCGCTATATGCTGTGTAGAAGGGAAAGTTAAAGGGGGCCCGGCTGTACATGTCAATTAATGGGTTTCGGCGGAACTTGGGTAAATCCTTGTTAGCAACTAGTGCGTAACTCATCTAAAACAAAGATGATTTAAAGGTTCCCACCTGTACTTGCAGTAAGAGAGAGAAGGTAGAGAGTTGTATACATTTGCTGTAATGCATATATATTACTACTACCACCAGTTTCTTAAGCAACTCCAATAATATCCACATGGCAAAAATTACGCATATTAATTACTCTTATCCAAAGTTATCTCCGTGTTCACTTTCTGATCTAATAAACAGTTATGACGTCACACTTACTGCCTGTGACGTCACACTTCCGTGGACGGAGATGTCAGTGATTACATGCATTAAACACTAGAGTACCTGCATATGGTGTCCCGGGTTCCCCTCGTGCAATGAAAGCGCCATGAACCCCAGCTTCAGTCTGCAGAGAGAAATACACTGTATACTTAATAAGAATTGTCAGTAGTTGCAGGACACAGTACACTAGTATAGAAATCAACATTGAAATTGAACATAGTGGTATCTTCAAGATGAAGGCTAGACTCCATTGGGCACAATACGTGCCCCTGCAGCTGGTATGATTCAGAAAATCACCAATTGCGCGCGCGCGTGTGTGCGAGATATGATACATCAATATCTTACATCGTATAGATCTGCCCAGTCAAAACTAATATGATATGTAACTCAAGTCGTGCATTTGTACTGGTACAACAAGCTCAGATGATAGGCAGATTTGACACATGTGCGCAGCCAGCTGTATAGTCAGTGTATAGTTAAAATTAAACAAATATAAAAAAAGTGTACTTAATGTAAATTTCTTCGTTTTCATGGCATAATCATTCACCTTATTACTCACTTTGTTTTGGGTTTGAACAAGTTCACCATGTAAATACCGGGCTTGCCAGCCTCGTTTCCGTTGAAATAATACGCAGCTGGCCCGTTGGACGGCATGGGGCGTATTCTGATAAAATATACATCAAGAGAGTTAAAATATAAAGCAACCTTTGCCACATACATAATGGCAAACTAGCGAGTCTTTTTGGTGCGTTATAAAAGAAGGAAACGCTATATTAATAAAACGCTGAGTTTTCATTGAGTTAATTTTTCCGCCTAAAACCATTAATTTAACATGTACAAGTACAGTACATGCATCACAACAGTGACTGTTCGCAACTCACTCGAGTTTGATTCCAGGGTCTATCTTGAAGAGGTCTTTAAGTTTTGGCTGAATTCTGTTTTCCACTATGTCTTCCACAAAAGCTAACAATTCCTCCTAAATAAAAGACAGAGTAAGACCCCATTCCCACAGATTTTAGATCGATCTATCCCCGTGGGGACTCTCACTAGATTACTGTCAGCTTAGCCGGTTTAAAGGTCTGTCCCGCCTTCTAAAAGCTGTAAGGGGGTAATTAAATTCCGTGCGCTGTCCGCTGACAGCAATTTAGCGTGAACCCCCAGGGAGTTAGGTCTATCTAGTTGGATCGATCTAAATCTCTGGGAATGCGCTCTTATTCTGAGTTTCTTAGCCAGTGCGGGCCCGATTATTCATTTCCAAATATCGATACTTGACTGCTGCCCTTATATGGAGCCACGGATTCCGTAAACGTCTGTCAAACTTCCCGCTCAATGACGTCAGAGTGATTATCTTGCACGTATGGAGATTTGAAAATGAAGAACGGGACAATGAATGGACATGAAATTCAAGATAAATATGTGGATGTTCTCAACTGTCTCCGCAAAGCGCATAATGTTTTTAATTACTTCCTCAGTAAGTATAAAATCACCAATATGTGCTGTCAAATAGAAATTTAACAGTATGTACTAAAACAGTGCATGAGGAAAGATAATCGTACATTAATCTAAAAAACGATAGATATAGTAGATCCAAAAGGTATATATATATATATATATACTTACTGAAGTGTTGAAGTAAAATTCTGGATTCTTCCCTAGGCTTAAAATATATTCTCGGATAGTGCCATTAAAACCATTTTCTTTGATTATCTGAAAATATCAACAGTTCTTTGGTTTCAACATTTGTACATCACTTGTTCTTCCCTGCTGTCTCGTCACAATATACATTGCTTCCATCTCTCACAAATGCTTAACCAGTAATGAACATTAATGATTATAGAAAAATAGTGAATAAATTAAGAAACAAACAAAAGACAGACAAATAAATAAATAAATAAATAAATAAATAAATACAGAACGAACGAACAACCAAAAAAATAGATAAATAAATAATCTGGCAATTTCAATGGAATTTTATAAACTTACCTCCATCATGAGTGCAGAAATTCGCTCCACCTCCTCAAGTCCTTGCTTGTGAATTTCCTGCGGGGTCTGATCAGTCGATATGTAAAACTTCAAAGCGGCCTCATAATAAGCTGTGCCATTATCGAGTGAACCTACTCCATAGCCCTGCCTCGTATTGGGCAGATATTCCTGCAGCATAAACAATGCTCGAGTTATATCAAAATGATTCATGTCAAATCACCGTATAGATCTTAAAGGAGTAAATGAGTTATAATACTGATGCATCTATGAAGATCTACTATAAAAACATAACATATTACATATAACATCTTTATAGTAGATCTTCATAGGTGCATCAGTATTATAAATTATTATATAAAAATGATATAACTTTTTCCTAAAAAAAACACCAGCGTAGATCATTGTGCCGCGTGCCGCGATATGATATTGCGCTGGTACCGAATTTTTTCTACCAGTGGTCATTTAACTTACATGGGTAACGAATTCAGAATAACTAACCTGAGTGAGCGATTAATTCATATTAGCTTACCGGTACCTATATGTAGATGATAAAGTCAGATTTGCTTACCTACGTGATAAATAATTCACATTAACTTACCTGGGTGATGACTTCATATTAACTTACCTGGGAGATAAAGTCGGACAGGTTTCGAAAAGCAGGGACCACCATTGTCCCAATGATGTCCTCAGCATCTATGCGCAGGCGTAACCTTCGTGTAAAAGCAGACCACATTTTACCGGTTGATACACGTATATCATTGCTTGCCTTACACAAACTATTCAGTGAATATTTCGTAACGGGGAATATCAAAACAAAAACAAGAGCTGCGAAGCATATTAAGTTGAATTATCATTGTCTGTTTTAAAGTAACAGGTGTATGGGGGCTAAAATGACAGATTACGTTAAGAAGCTATGCACATTTATATTTATTTGTAACGATAATCCCGTCAGTGTCAAAACAATTTTACTTTGTGGCGTCTGAAATATTCTGTGCGTCGTTTAATCTGCCTTGGAAAGGTTTGAAGAATGTTGAGTTTTGGATCGGAACATCTATTATTTGACTGGTGATTTCGTCCGGCACGCGATTCTGAAATAAGTAGGTTTGCCATTAAATGAATAACAAAAATGAGAGACAAGAATTTTAAAATTGTTTCAATGCCTCTTTGTATCGTTGGTGGCAAGAGATAATCTTCTAAATGTTCCAACTTATGGACTCATGTTATCTACCAGGCACTTACCATAGACGCACGGTGATTAGTTCTGCCCAAACGAATGGCCTCCTTCATGAGTGTTATCGTTTCACCAATCTGAAAATATATTTGCATTGCACAGTAAACATAATTTTTTTTTAATTTACACAGAAACCGAAGAGCTACAAAGAAAGAAAGCAAAAATACATGTACAATATAACCCGATATAAATTTTAATTGGATTCTTTTGTGGAAGAAATCAGCAAATTTTATCATTTAATCATATTTCTATTTTACACAAATTTCCCATGCAAAACAAACCTGTCTGACGAGCGCTTTCAATCTGTTTAGAAAATCTTGGAAATCGGTTTCCGTGTTGAAAGGTGTGCTGTCTATTAGAACACCCCAGTGCTTGTGAGGGCCCTCGAGGAAGTTGACAGGGGTTAGGGACCCATACCTGAAAAAAACGCCAGTGATTAAGGACAGTTTGAGTCTACTAAAAGAAAAAATATTTAACTAATTTTACACAGACACGTTGAGAATTAAGTATTCATGTTTAGGTATCACTGCGTAGCTCCATAATGAGCTACGATCACCAGAATACGTAATGCTTTTCCGACTATTTTTATTACTTTACTTGTCAATTTAACATACATGACAGGAGTTCTTTCTTTGTGCACACCTTTGGAATTTAAAATACCTGAGCAGGGCAAGCGATTGTGTTACTCAACACGCAAGCAAGGACTATGAAACAAATTTAGACAGAAAAAGAACAATCTGAGAAAACGGTTCTTCCAATTTATCAACAATATGCTGGTGGTTCCAATTTAACTTCATTTCTTCCGAGTCTTCTGAGAATGAACGAAAGTTGCTTTTCCTTTTAGTGTGTAGGGTGTGAACGCATGCATGGGCACAAGGAATGTTTTCAGGACTCAAGTATCACAAAAGAAAAATTCTGATATAAATAAAAATACCTAGGAACATTTTTCTATTTTTCTAACCTTAAGCGCCCATAGTAAAAAAAGCATCCTAGTAGGTAGCTGTCAATAAATACAAAGCTTAACTTTTAAATCAAGGGACTCATTGTTGACTGATATGTAACCCAAGGCAAAGACTACTTCAAAATTTAAAAAAATAATAATAATGAACACTACCTGCGCCATTCATATCCGTCTATGAATGTTTTAAAGATGTTCTGCAGCAAGTCATAAGTTACTCTGTCAGAACGGGACAAATCTCTGCGGGAGATAGCTCTCAACCTCCGCTGGAAGTCTTCTGTTTGAGCCTGAAATCATGCAAATAATCCATTTAAGAGTATATCTTTTTATTTGTTTCTCCTTTGGGTGGGTGGTCGGGGTGGGTTTTTGAACTGAAATTTACTGTTATTTGCCAATCGGTTTGCTTTTTTCACACAAATATATGCATGTAGAATATACATTGTATCTTGAGAGTGTTTCTATTATTCGGCTTCAAAATGTATCGATAGCTAGTGCATTAGCTGAACAAGAATTATGAGAGTTAACAATGAACTTTGTTGACTTAGGTTATGAGCACGAACTCCACTATGCTGCATCAAACAGATGAACATATAAAAATATATAACCACACAAGCAAGTAAACAAACATCATCATTATGTAAATGTACCTTATCTGCATCAAACTGCGCATGCGTGTAGTTACGTAAATCACCGTTGAAGCTGTAGTCCCCAAGAAAAGTGGCGACAGATGGCTCTATCTTCATTCGAAAGGTCCAGTAATCATTACTCAGAGATTTCAGCCGCTCCCTGGGACTTTCTAAAATTTGTAAAAATAAATCATTATACCCAACGTCCATTTAACATGACATCTTAAAGAGTTCCTAAGCGGATATTTTCTCTTGATAGGAAAACTGTAAGAAGCGAGTAAGTACACATTACTTTGACTGGCGGGTTTTATCCGTATATTACAATTGAAAAACATCTGTGCTAGAACGTCGTGGATATTCTCAAGAATATTCACTTTCTTGGCAGTTATACAACCAATGATAGCCTTCCTCTTTTCTGGGACAATTTTTTAAAATGATCAAACAGGGTGAAAGAGTATGTTGTTTTTATCAGCAATAACAGGTTACCAATATCCGCTTACTGTCCCCAAAAAGGCCTTCATGTAAATAACTAACATGTACACAACTCTACACACCTTAGTTCTTCCCAGTGCGAGGAACCCACATGTTGAACAATGCACACAATGAACCATAGTAAACAAATAGTAGAATGTCCTAGATAGGCCCCATTCACAAACAAAGTGGATCCACAGACTAACAGATCGGCGGATCAAATATGGCCACCCCACTTGAAAGCTTACCGCGTAATCCCCAGGAATCTATTCAGTGTCTATTAGGGGGTTCAGCGGCAAGCATTCAAATGGGTCAAGTATATTTGATCCACGGATCTGTCAGTCCGCGGAACAATTCGTTCTGAATGCGGCATTAATTACTGCGGCTGCCGATAAGATAAACCTTTAGAACCTCCAAGAAAAATTCAACCCAGATGTTCACCCTATATGTATACGATATCCATGCAGTATTACATAGCACAAAAATCACCCATTCAAAATAAATAGGTGAGATTCAGCGGCCAGTGTGCTACTTCATTGCGTGCCAGCCCATTCATCCCCTTCCAACTGCCCAGCAAAACATAGAACAATGCCATAATGTTACCATAACATATTTTAATTATATAATCGTTATGGTAACGTTATAATAACGTTCTGCGTTTGCTGGGTGGTGCTACAGACCGCGCTGTCTGACGCTCAATTACCACTGATAATTTTTTAGAAAGAAATGTCCCCGGTGAAGTCTATAAAACCTCTATAAATGCTATGAAATATTACGCCATTAATTCACAGGTAAGCAAGCACCGTACCTGCTGTTACTTGTGACGCCAAGCAAACCACATAAACTCCTAGCAGAAACATCTTCAGAAGTGACCAGGAACTAGTGTCCGGTACGACTACCAACAGTCTACTGTATTGGAACTATATATATGTATGTTTTCCGTGTCAAGGTGCGCCTTGAAATAACATGTAAAGAAAGTTGTAAATACGGCAGCTCTAGATCCGTGACCGCCAATCCTGTCTCCAGTATTTACGGCACTCGGTCATACATGTACTACCCGGCACACGAGGTAAAGCTTCGCTAATTTCCCTGTTATGTATCATGGTCTGTCACTCTGTGAACTATGTCCATGTTTTATAAAATATATCTCTGCCCTGAAAGCCTATTTTAATAAAGTCGTATAACGTCGGCAGACAGAACAATCTGAGCTCAAACGGCATTCCAACACGTCTTGGCGGTGACCTTAGCTTGTTTTTGCAATTCGCTTCTTAATTTAAGGGATTGTTTTCTAGCACCCCGTGACCCAGTTTTTTTTTTATGTGTTTTCTTACCTTTTGTAGTTTTCATCGTTAAATACAGTCAAGTGTGATGGAGTTGGAGGTCATGTAAGGTGCGCTCGCAAAGAAGTTAAGTCCGAAAAAGACAACTATTGTAACGCACTGAACTGGGTGTAAACTTGAAAGGTATATCGTGTGTCCCGAGTTACAAATATTTATGTTGAAGATTCATGTCAATTCACTGTATAGATCTTAAGTAAAAAAAAGTATTAACCCCGAAAAAGGCCTAGGGGCCGAAAGCTTGGATTATATATGGCATCTGTCAAGTAGATCTTCAGAGATGCATCAGTAATAATACAAATATTTATCGTAACGTAATACACTTTAGTAATAACGTCTTTGTAACATGTTCACATTGAAAGTGCGAATACGGAACTAGAAGTTGTGAATCGTTCTGCTCATTTGCCCTCTTGCAATCTAGCTGTGAACGAGGATCGGAACCCCTAAAGCCCTGGCTAGTCCTGTGTAGACGCGGCAGGGGCCGAGATGCCCCCAGCGGCGTGTTGCATAATGCATAGAGAGCAGTTGTTGGTTATTATTGTACTCGGTATTACATTCTGTGTGTTATATTGTGCACACATGTCATCAGGTATAATGTAAATGGTGGAAGGAGGCTTGGTAGTAGGGGTAAAGGGGTGATTAAAGGCGGGATAGAGGCGGGGAAAAGGCGAAAATGGGCGGGGTAGAGGGGGGGAAGGCGGAAAAGGAAGGGCAGATGCGGGGACTGAGGATAGCAGTGCGAGAATCTTTCTCATGTACGACCCCTATTAATACAGTGGTTTAAACTATACTTCAACTTATTGGGCAATGCACAATAGGCCTATACAGGGAATTTGCATGTGCGTTGAGTTAGATGCGAGACACGTAGATTGTGTTAGGTGAGAGAGCATATAGATTGTGTTACGCACTGTCACAGCTCAGCGGAGTGATGAAGTCAATGTTGGGCAGAAATTATCCCATCCCAAAACGTGCAACTATCAAATTACCAGAAAAAAAACATCAGTACAAATCTAAAAAGGGTACGAGAGAAAAGGGTACGATTGTCTTAGATGCGAGGTACTATGTGGCCTACAATAGTTTGTTTCATAAGGATTTTACTGGGGTTATAGATAGAACACAGTGAAGTGAAATTCTCATTGGTGTGAACATCACAATCATGGATGTGTTCCTCTTACACCTGCCTTTCATATGTTTTGAATGGTTGTGAAGCTAGCATTCAAGGTTTGTAGTTTGTGAAATGATTCACTGGCTTTCGCTTGGTCTAAAAACTACTGCAGATTAGTCACGCTCATGTGCTTTAATTATAGGTTAAACTCTAGTCTGCTTACTTTAAGAAAAATCTTTTCGACGTGCTGAAACTAACCGAACGTTTTATGTTCCTTCTTGTGATAGGATTTTTTTTCCGGAATATAAGCACATACAATCACCATCGGTGATGAGAAGGAACACCACCTAAATGTGACAAAAATCAATAAACACATAACTACTGTAATACAAATGTAAAAAGTGCCAAAAAGGACGATCGAAGGAAATAAACCCAAAAGCATTTATAGCTAGACATTGGACTTGTATAATGCAAAGGGTTTGCTTTTATATAAAACACATTCCATCTCCGTGTAGTATTTCTTCTAGCTTTTTACCTGGTGCACGTGCCACATTGCTTTCATGTGGAGATGTAAGGAAGTGGTTTATCAAAGGTTAAATGCTATCGCCGGGAATAACAACATCAACAGCTGATTTATTTTTGCCGTAGATTAAGTATCGCGAAAAAATAAATAGGGTGTATCCAGGTTTATTCAGAGTGATGGTATTGACAAGGTAATACTCATACGTCAGATACATGTACGTGTATTTGTAAGAAAGTTAAATATGCAAAATTATAACATGGTTAGAAAATTCTCTTACTATTTATCACACCACTGATGTTTCTGTAAAATTACTAATGCCTTCATCGTTCTTATAAATTAAAAATCAAGTTATTTGCGCGATAAAATTCATGTTAAACGTTGCACATAAGCCTCTCGATCTGTATTACATTTAGCTACTTCTTTGCGCTGTAACTGTGCAAACGCTCCGTCCGTAATTCTGGCAGCCGACTGCGTTACCTCTCTCATCCATTGCTGCCGCCTCTCATGTTTCAAGGTGGGCCGTGATGTGTACGAGGTTACCGTATATGGCAATGCGGATCAAACAGAGGCAGCTGACGAGCAGCATGGAAACCGTCGCCTGCCTCAAGAGGGGTCTGGTACGTGCTTTTTCAAACCAATGACGAGTGCTATAAATCTCATTTTGCCGAGTTTTTGCGATGATTAAATTCTCGTAAAGGACAATAATTTGGAACTGCGTGTAGGCCGGCAAAGTGATGACGTCAAATGGCATGACCTTTACAGAAAAGCTCCCGTCCAAAAATAGTCGACATACCTGCAGCATTAGTTCTTGGCTATGGATTGCATTCAGGTTTGAAGTGGAGCTCTGAACTGAAAGCTGTTCTAAATATTCCGCCATATTTACCACTCTGAGTGCAATATTAAGCTTTATTACCGAGGACCAGACGTGTACAGATTTCATATTTGAGAGAGGATCCGTCCCGCGCTAACTCCATTTACCCACCTGGAGGCAGTCATTAAAACATCAGAGGATTAACAGGACTGGGCCTCGTATCAGGTAATTCTCTCGGACGTCCCTGATAGCTTTTAAAGACGCTGGACTCAGAATTAACTCTCTTTTATAGAGAAAAATGAGCTCCCAGGACGAAGAGGAGGGGGCTTGCTCTGAGTATGTGCCACACGCGTGGAAAAAGGGTGTGTGTAATATCTGCTTCAAACCTGAGAGCGAACACGAGCCGGCAGAGCCAGCGCCCGTTCAGGTGGAAGTGAAACCAAAGGAGGACAAGAAAAAGAAAACCGAAGCGGTCACTCCAAAGAAGAAATTTCAGGTAAACAGAGACTTAATTCCAGAGAAAAAGAGTCCGTGGGGTGACCCTCTAAAAAAGAAAAACGGCAAAGCAAAGCATGAGGACACACAAAAAGCCAATGGGGAGGCTGCTAAAGCAAAGGAAAAGATACAGGAAGTAACTCAACCCGAACCGGAACCGGAACCAGAATCAGATCAGCCGAAGGCGTGTGAAAAATTCGAGCCTAGCGCCTGGAAAAAGAACGTGTGTAGAAACTGTTTTATGACACCTGAGGAACATGCCCCGGATCCGGAAGAGGAGCCCGCGCCTGCGCAGACCACTCCTCAAAAAGACAAAGGTAGCAAAAACACAGGCAAAACTTCCAGAGGAGGGAAAACTGAAGGAACCAAAAAGACTGACGAAAACGCTGAGCCGCCAAGGCAACGGAAGGGCGTTCCGTTGTGGAGATTACTGAAGTGATATAAGTATCACCTCCTAACTGTGATATAAGTTTTTTGCGCCGATCTTATACAGTATTGCTGTTGGACCATCCATTACTGCCTACAGGTACCATATCAAACACCTGGCCTACTAATACAACGTACTGCTGACTGTGTTTTACCCCCGATCTTTCAGGCTAAGAGACCGCAAGCTTAAGTCTAAGATAGCTCATAGACGAACATATGCTGACAAATTTGACACATAAAATTTTAAAACTAACGAGTAAGAGAAAGAAGGAGAGATAGGGAGAGCAAACTGGAAATGAGGTGTCTCCTCAGGTTAAAGTGTTTCAGAAAACGTTTAAGTCTTAGCCTACACTTGTGCCGTACGTATGAATCTGGCAAAACGGCATCTTTCAAATGAAACAATGGTTATACGCGTAGAACCTTGATGGAATCGCCACAAGTATTGACTTTTATTTTACTAAGTGAGAAAGTGTTTCATATGCACCTACACCTGTATAAACCAATGGTGTGTGCATCAGAACATTGTATCAGCATCTAGCTTTTTACAGTCCCAGCATCATGGGCATTCTCGTGAATTGTAAACGGTGTGAACCATAAAAATATAATGCCCATCATGACTATACTTATTCTTCGTTGACGACGCAATCATTTGTTGAGCATCGATCAGCAGCAACGTGGGATTACACATGGCGCCACGTGAAATCCTGGAAATCTCAGTCACCATGTGAAACATCGAGTTACAAACTGCCTTGAAATATTCAATTATACTACGAAAAATTTAAAGCAGAATTATACCTACATGTATATATACGTGTTATAAAAGCTGTAACTAAAATGTTGCATTTGTCTTTACGTCTTCTTTGCTCTCCGAAGTAAACAAGAGGACAGTATTATCCGTGCCTACTTTATGTAATAAAATATTAAAACTACCTGGTTATAATAAAAGGGAACCTGCGTCAGGTTCATACCTGTGCTATAATTTGTGTCCGCTTTGCCACGTACTATATATACACATATACCAAGCTCTTTTGAATTTTTCCCTTGCAGAAGCGCATGGTATCCTTATCCCTTAATTCAGCTAGTGGAAAGAGTGCGGTATTTTCGTTCTCGACACGAACGTTTGTGGATACCCTCTAGCTACTTAAAGCATTTTGGTCTGTAGCATTTGACATGCATGTCATCAAACACAAGGCAAACTCGATTCACTATATGTATAACATACAGTGAAAAGACGCAGAATAAATGGTCC